CAGCTTATTTTATTTCAGCCAATTATTGTGTTTTCAAATATTTCTGTGTGTTTCCCTCCTATTTAACTGTTAGTACAACCCTAGCTATACACTGCCAGGGGTTAGGTTTCACCCTGGTTAGAAAGAAGCTTTTAAAGGCTTTTTTCCCTTAATGCTTTAAATATATATATATATGCGAGGGGGAAAAATATTTTTCTCCTCTAATGTCACTTTGCTCCAACAAACGAAACGAATAAGAAACGAATAAGAACAGAAAACGAAACGAACGTTCGAACTACCGCTACCGAATTTCGGAACTGGAAATTCGGATTCGTTTGCATTCGTTATGTCTGTAATTCGGAATTTGCACATGTCTAATATATATACACACACAATAATATAATATACTTTGTAGTATGCCAAGTACACTACAAGTGGCAATACATTGGATTTCATTCTGAGTGCAAGTTGACACTGCTAGTGAATCTTGTCAAGTCAACAAGTTGCCATACTGGAGGTATGTCTTTTGCACAAAGCAACATTTGTGATAGAAAACATGTCTTCTATGTGGAGTACAAGCTGTCTGTACTTTGTGTGAAACGGTGTCTGTTGGAAGCCCTCTTTCAGCTTAAGGTGTTCAACTTGACTGCCAGCGAGTCATTACCCCAGTTCCTATATACAGCATTTTTCTGTTGAGGCTGAAGAACACCTAGGCACATAGCATGCTAGGCACTGTGTTCTCCAGTTGTAGTTTAAATGCAGCAGTAAGTGAAGCTTCTGGATTTGCCATTTATGGGTAGTATAAATCTAACTCATTAACACTATGTGTGATGCATTTGTGGGTGTTAGGTGAATGGCTGCCAGGCAGCTGGCAATGACAGTACTGTGACCATCACATGTCTTCTAGATGTAGAATGGGGAGTATCAGTATTCTCTTGTTATCTGAATGAAGGCCAGGATCCCTCCTTCTATATAACTGAGCAACAAACCCTGGCATTCATTAATCCAGACAGGTCTCCTATTAATGAGCCCTTTCTATATTTCAAATGGAGGTTATCAAAGGAGCTTGTTCCCTAAAGCACACAAATGGAAAGCAGTATTTCTTCAGGGTCAATTCATTTTCCATCTGGCTAGTCGTTCGTGTGATAGTTTCAAGCAATTAATCCTAGGATCTTGGTCTAATTTCAGAAATGAAAAGTAATGTCTACATTCCTCACAGATTACTCACTGCAGTTATACAAACCAGCAAGTAAAGGTACAGAAAAAGTTTTTACACATTTTAATAACCTAAGTGAAATATTAGGAGGATAAATTCATTGTATTTTCCAAGGAAATTACTAACCGTTATGGAAGATTAGCTATACCATCACCAGAAAACTTTGTTCGATAACATTAGTTAAATTGCTGTGAAACTGAAACATTTCCCTTCCACGTACAGAAAGGAAAAGGGCAGAGAGAAAGTGATAACACTTCTTTGTTTTTTGCTGCAGTGCTTCTGGGCTGATTTATAAAACAAAGTTACCACTGGCTGTGTTATAGTGGGCCTACAATGCATCATTAGAATTCACTGTGAATATTACAACCTGATGTCTACTGTAAACCCCACCTTGCCTTGTGTATGGTATCTCATTGCAAGAGCTAATACACAGCGCTGCATAGTCTCAATGAAAGTTAAAAAGAATGTGTAGTGGTTTTGTGCATATTTCATTATGGTCAGGACTAAAAATATCCACATTACATATAAAAAAAGAAATGTAGTATTTTCTCAAGCCAGGACATGGAGCTCTCATCACTTTTTCACATGCTTTTGTCTGTCATCTTGCCATGTGTTGGTAAGAGCTTGTTCAATAGCTCAAGCCAGTGCATGACATACCACAGGTAGGGCGGCAAAAATCAGATTTAGCCAAACAGTAAATGTACTAGAGCATGGTGGCATGAGTGGTACACCGAAAAGCATAAATAACATGCAAACCTAGGAGTTAGAGATGTCTTGGAAGGGGACCCAGAATAGGATGTCAAGAGTCTTGGCAACCAGCAGACAACCAATCAACTAGCAGCCCAAAAACCTAAATTGGTAACTTATTAGCAGAAAGCAACTGTCAGGTAAGGAACTAGTGGATGTTGACTAGGTATTGACTAACTTCTCTCAGGAGATCATCTTATACATGCTCTCTTAAATATTAAATAATATTAAGTTCCAAATTGGTGGTCATTCCATGCACAGGTAAATAACTGAATACAGAATCTAACTCATTAACGTGTGCAGTTAAGACAGTAAGCAGTAACTATTACCGTATGCTAGCAGTTTTACATTGGCTATCCCGAAAAGTCCCTTGCTTTTATAATGGTACCTTGTAGTAAATGTAGCAAAGGAGCATATCAGTTTGTACACTCTGTATTCTGTGTGCTGCCCTTGGGGGCTGGGTACCGATAAGAACGAATTGTTAGGGAGATATGAGGAGGAAAGGTGAACATATTCAGCTCCACTGTAATTAACCTTATTGTCCTGGACCCAGTACGTGGCCAAGAGTCATACCCATTGGCATCTGGCTTCATGGTGAGACGGCATGCAGTGTAAAATAAGAGCATGCTACGTGCTCTCGACTCCACAATTTAGCAGTGTATAACAAATATATGACTACAGGTGATATTATTACGAACATTAAAACACAACTTTATGACTAAACTGCGAAAACAATTACATGGCGGAACAACATTTTATTCCTATGCTGTTTGTGTTGTTCTGCCTGAATTTTAGCAGCATATGGTAAAGTTATGTAATTCATCCAATGGTCTTGAGCCCCCTAACACACCCACACAAGGGCTAGCATTACATGCACTGACCCTCTTTATTTAGAGTAGAGCACCATTGATGAAGGATGCTTAATGTCATTTTGATAATCTGTGATATTACTAAAGGCAAATTATATTTATGATGCGTTTTTATATCTCATGGTGTAAAATATCTATATTGTTTCATCAGCAAAATGGTTACATGGGGAACTATATTTATAGGGCATTTTATAACTTGCTTGTCCTGATCAATAGTATTTAAAATATTCAGAGGGCTAAATCTCAGGCTTCATAGAATATAATGAAAGATTCAACTGTTTGGAAATGAGCAATGAGACCCACAAGCTATGCCTTGAACACCCACCTTGCACATGTATAGTTCAATGCACACCTACTGAGCTTTCCTTTACTGCCTATGGAGCACAACACCAGCTTGTCTCTCCATATCAGCACTGATAAAATAGAAATGTTTTACATCCATTGGATCGCCTATCACAATAATACTGGTTATCTAATGGAATTGTTTATGTCCAATACATAGATTATCTTTAGGTTTCTAGGAAAGATATTTATTAGAAATATGTCTTATGGTAGTCTACATCTCTATACAATAATAAAATAAACACTTGTAAACACAATTAACACCAAGTCATTATATGCAGTGAAAGAACACCACTAAGGCTGGGTTCACACCTAGACGTACCGAATATGCGCGTTTGTCGCGCATTTTGTGCCGTGCATTTTTTACCGTGAATCGCGCGTTTCCGAGGGCTATCCGGCTTTATCCTAATGGATACGCACGCCAAATACACCCCAAAGAAGCTCCTGTACTTCTTTGGGCGTAGGGTTTTTTTGCAGCGCGTTCCTAGGCGCTGTAAAACGCCCAGGTGGGAACCATGCCCATAGGAAATAATTGGTTTTCACATGTTGAGCGTTTTATAGCGCGTAGGAACGCGCTGTAAAACGCCCAAGTGTGAACCAGGCCTAAGTGTATTATAATAGAAGTACTTTGAGATGAAATTTATAATATACATACACAGCACTAGGGTCCCCGGTTCAAATCCCAGTCAGGACACTCTCTGCAAGGAGTTTTTGTGTTCCTCCGGGTATTCCACTTTCCTCCCACACCCCAATAACATGCTGGAAGGTTAATTGGCTCCTGTCTAAAATTGGACTTGTATGTGTGTGTATGATAGAGACCTTAGAATGTAAGCTCCTTGAGGACAGGGACTGGTGTGAATGTGCACTATATAAAGTGCTGCGTAGCATGTCGGCGCTATATAAATACCAATAATAAATATAAATAAATAAAGGGTATCACTTAAACTCCAAACATTAATTGATGGCTAATATGGTACAAGGTAAAAGCACTACGTAAAATTGTGAGCGCTATATAAATACCTGTAATAAATAGAAATATTTTCTTAGAAAGAATGGGGCTTACCAAACAAAATTAAAAGGTTATACAGACTCTTTCCAAAGGTATCTTCATTTATTTATTAGTTTTTTGCTACACGGCTTAGTACAACTTCACGGTAGATAAAGTTGTTCATAATAATACAAAAAAGTGTTAAAGTGTGTGTGCGTTGCCTATTGCAGCCACTCTGTCATGTGCTGGAAAATAAGAGCTTGCATCTGGTTCTCAATGTAAACATTCCCACAAGTATTATGGCCATGGTGGCTTTAGCCGTATTGGTCCACTTGTAGCATTACAGTTACTGCACATGATGCTGTTTTATTTGCTCTAACAGTTCATTTGTTCAGCATAAGCTTCCTAGATATACCCTCTTCTTTTTGGTCTAATAATTACTGCTTGTCTGGAAAAATTAAATGTTCAAATATAAAAACAATATGTGCAGTACTAAACCACGTTGCCCTCGGTTTCATAAACCAACTCTGATGACTGTTTTAGAGATGTATACCAGACACAAAATAGGAACAAGACAGCAATCCATGTGTATAAACTAAACATCTCGACTTCCAGCTACAGCTGTAAATGGTTCCTTGTGATCAACCATCACTCATTCATCACACAGAGTATATATCCTCCACTTACCCAGCTCCTCTTATGTTTCCAAGACTAGACATTCAGCAATCCATGTGTGTGAGATAAACAAGTGTCTAGAATGAATATAACTTGACTTCCAGCTATAGCTGTAAATGGTTCCTTGTGATCAACCATAGCTCATTCATTCACATCTCCCATACAATATATATCCACAACTTACCCAGCTTCCACTCCTCTTGTTTATCAAAGGCTGATATTCCATTGCCGTGGACAGCGTTGTTTCAGTGCTACGCCGTTATCTAAGTAAAGAAATGTCTGTGCCCTTCTCTCCCTCTTTCAGACAGTTTTCACCCAGTGAAAACAATATCCAGCATTATACTAGTGGAATAAACCATGCATGTTAAAATGGATCATGCAAACATAATTTAACACAAGATGCTTTGACAACAACAACCGAAACATGTTAGTGTTTAAGTCATTTGAGTCTGTAAGGATGCATGGTTAATTAATTCCAAAAAAATAAACACATCATACCTTGATAATCTCCATGTTATTTCGGGATTGGATCTGAAAATTCTGACCGTAACACTATCACATGAAATTTTCATGTGATACTCACAGCAGACCTTTATTTCTAATCAGGCTCTTTTCAAACCTCCTCTGTTTCAAAGTTCATATGCAGAGAGGAGAGCAAGTGAGCCAATTTTTTATTTTTTTATCTATGCTCATCATTTAACCCTTTCGCTGCCAAGCCCTCCGGAACATTTTTCAAATCAGCTGGCCAAGCCATTTTTGAATTTTCTGCAATTTTTTCCTATTGATTTGATTTTCAACTGCTGCGTTGCTAGCGTTTGTAAAAGACCCCCCAAACCATATATTTTCTGAAAGCGCAGGCCCGGTATGACCATCAGCTTATAGTAGAACTGTAAATGCCAGGTCCGTATGGCATACTGACCTGGCCAGCTGGAAGCACTTTTGTAGGTCAGTATGCCATACGTCCTTGGCAGCGAAAGGGTTAATGATCAGAAAATGCCCAGCAGAAACCTCCCTCATTTAAATACCTTCCAAAGCTGAATAACATGATTTGGGGATTATTTAACCACTTGAAGACCAGGGTGTTAAACCCCCTTCATTTTTGGGGGGCACATAGAGCTTTCTTTTGATCGTATTTAATCACCGCTGGGGTTTTTATTTTTTACTATATAACAAAAAAGTACCCTAAATTTCCCCATGTTCTGAAACATTTATTATCACCCCAATTTTTTGGTAAAATATAAAAGACGGGGTCATGTCGGGTAAAAATGTTCTGCAGAAGACATGTATCTAAACCACTGTTTTTAACCTTAGCAGTGAGACAAGTTTTTTTGCATGCTGGCTGGCGAGTGTGATGGGAAAACGTTTTGCTGTTTGTACTGTATTAGGCCCTTCCATGTGCACCTTGCTGTAAAGCTGGTAACAAATTGATGAGTGCATTTGCCATTTGTTTTGCATGTCGGGTAAATAGACACCAAACATGTCAAGCTGTAAAATTGCGCGTGCCCATGAAATCGCAGAAAACGACCACACCCAAAATTGGCGAGGCTTTAGACGCTTTTATCGCTCATCAGTTTAGTGTTATCAGTAATTAATGCGCCTAAAATTATTGCTCTCATTGCGACGTTCACGGCGATATGTACCATGTGCGGCACAATAGGCAGAATCGCCATTTTCGAACATAGGCGCACCCGATGCATGTTTGCGTGTGTATGTGGGGGAGCAGGGGACTTTTAAAAAAATTGTTTATTTTTTTTAAAGCTTATTTTTTTACACTTAACTTTATTGCTATCACATACTGTAGGGAGCTAAGAAACCCCTATGTGATAGCCAATTCACATGACAGGTCCTCTTTATGGAGACATTAGGGGTCTTCAAGACTTCTGTCGCCTAGGGACCCCCAGAGAAGCTTATTAAGCAGAGATCTGCTTCATCGGCTTCTCTCCGTCCTCTGTACCGGAGAGTGACAGAGGAATGCGGCAGTGATGTAATATACATCACTTCCTGCATTCGGGGACAGGAGAGGAGATCGTGTACTGACCTCCCTTTGATCTCCAGTAACAGAGTCACGTGCGGCGACGGAGGTACGGGGGGTGCGCACACCCGCAGCTAGTAAAAGCGATCAAGCGTCTCTAGAGCGATGGCTGTTTACATTTCTAAAGCTGGCCACACACCTTACAATTTATCTGCAGGTTTTCTGTGGTCAGATGGAAAAGTTGCAACAGATTTTTCCATCTACACTTAACTGTGTGGATGGAGTAATCTCCACCTGGGCCAATCTGTTGCACTTTTTCCATCTGACCACAGAAAACCTGCAGATAAATTGTAAGGTGTGTGGGCACCTTTACAGTTTCCCCACTCGTGTGCGCGCTGAGCGCCGCACACGAGCAGGGGAAGGGGCAGGATGTCTTAAGATACCCTCCCGCTCCTATAAGGCTCCCGTCTGGCTATTCAGGAACGGCCATGGATGGGAGGTGGTTAGTTTAAACCTTGAGAAAACAAAAATGACCCAGAAGTGTAATAATCACCAACAAGTTTTCATCTTCCTTGTTATGATGGATGAATAAATAAATAACTGTTCTAACTGGTTGCTGTGGGCAACGTCTCCACTTTTATTTACCTTGCTTCTTTCTTTTCATGTATGTATGTATGTATGTATTTAGGTATTATTTATTTTTTCTCTAGTTTTATCAGTTAGCACAAAGTATAAAATGGAAGATACATAAAGGGCTCTGGAGTCTTTTATCTTTAGAGAACATGACCTTTAGATGTAACTAATATTTTGGACACATTTAATTGCTATCTTTACATGCAAATTGAGAATTGGTATGAAACCACGTGTGTACTGAACTGGCTTATGAAACATTTTTCATGTAGTACTGACCCTTTCAGGAAGAGTTGAACATAAAGCTAATTAATGGAAGCACTGAACATGTACTTAATGGCTATCTCCAACTAAAACATTTGACTTCGTTCTGGATAGTATGGGGAAGAGGTTATATTGATGTTATATAGGTGCAGGGGCGTCCCGAGGCTGGGTGACCCCCGGAGCGGTAACCGAGTGTCCCCCTGCAGAGATGTCACTGCGCATGCACGTGACGTCACCACGCGCGTGCGGCAGTATTCTGATACCGGCAGAGAGAGGAGGGGACAGTCATCTGGCGGGATAAGGTATGGCGCCGGGTCCCCTCCTCTCTCGTGATACTGTCGGGCGTTCGGTCCATGACCGAGCGCCCGACTTTTCAGAGGGGGTTGACACCAAAATGACTTCATGGCTGGTGGTATTCTGCATTGCTGTATGATGATTATACAGCAATGCAGAATAGCACCAACTATGTAGGACTACAAGTCCAAGCACTGCATTATATTTTTAAGTAGGGATACACCACTGCCAATACTGGGCATTTGCACAAGTACTTATACTCGTGGAAATGCCCCGATACTAAAAGTAGATACCGACATAGTCGAATTTGCCGACCTCAGCATCTGCGCTCGTGCACAGACCAGTATTATCGAGGAATCCGGGATTTATTCACAAAGTATTTCGTTTAAATTGTTAATTGTGACCGTTAATAATGTTCCATCCATCATTTACTGCCATGGATGGCATATTATTAACGGTCACAATTAACAATTACAAACTAATACTTTGTAAATGCCGGTTTTGTCGTTAATCCCGTCTGTACGTAAGCACAGCTACAGGGTCGGCGTTCTCAACAGAACACGGCACCGTGTTTCTTGCACCGGGGCCCTGAAGGTTCTAGTTATGCCTCTGCTTTTACATTTAAAATATGTATCTTGCTCCCCCTCCCAGATACTGCAGCTTACAGTGGGAGGGCTTCAGCAGCACAGTCAGTTCTGCCAACCCAAAAAGCAGTGGGCAGGACTAGTTATGTTCAGCTGCTAATTGACAATCAGCTGAATCATTACACTGTAGTACAAGCAGGCGCAGCCTACAGGAGGGACAGCACTGCTCTGAATTTAGTTGCAGTGCAGCAGGGTTGTCCCCCTATCACAGAAAGCTACATTAGGTGGACTTTGTGAGATTTTGCAGGGGAACTAAGGCCTGGTTCACACGTTTTGTGTATGCGCGTTGTACGCGCGTTTTCCCCCGGTATTTTTTGCGCGTTTTAAGAAGCGTTTTTGCATATGAAAAAATGCGCGACGTACGCGCGTTTTTGAGCGTTTTTAGCGACTACAGGAGGTGTCCAATTAAACAAAATTCCGGTCTTTCCTAAGCATCCAATGAAAAAGACTTCCTGAGACGCAGCATTTCCTTTTCTTGTATGCAAAGGACCGTGTGGTGTGTGCAGACTACAGAGGAGAGTGAGCTTTTTCATTGCTTCTTCATTGGTTATGGAGCTTGGGAAACGAAGACGGACTGCAGCAGTCGTTGCAGCAGTGCGCCTTATACGATTCAGGAGAAGCAGAGTAAGCAGGTGACGGTTCTGGGTCCATCCAGTGTTAGCGAACTGAGAAGAAAGAGGCCAGTTTTGGGTCATGTACGAAACACTCCGTGGACATGAGGAGAAGTTCTTTACCTATACCCGCATGTCCATAAATAGGTTAGTACATAAACAATTGTTAGTGCTTATTGTTGTTGTGTCCCATGTAATAGTGGCATCATCGATTTTACTGGAATATATGTATTTGTCTTTCATGTATGTTTATTGCTAATTGCTAGTATTGACCACCAACCTTTATATACAGCATATTACAGTTTTGATGAGCTGCTCGGAATGTTGTCTGTCCAGTTGGAGCGTCAGGACACATTCATGAGAGACAGCATTCCTCCGCCGGAAAGATTGATCATTACTTTGCGGTAAGTTCACTACATCACTCCTTTGTTGAATTATAGACCAATCAAACATTGGCGTAAAGAAGCATAAAATGAGTTAGATATGATTAAATGTGTGCTCTCTGTGATTTTCTGCGGGTCTAGGTATGAAATTAGTTATTTATGTGTACTAATTTATAAATTAGTGCATATCAATCACCAATTTCTTATATACACTCTCACATGTAACTAAATTATAATATGTTTTCGAGTGCTATTTATATGGAATTGTATATTAATGCTCTGCGTGTTGTGCCCTTTGCTGTTGTGACCTGTGCAGTTGTGTTGTTGTGCCCTGTGCGTTGTGCTCTTCTAACCTAGGTGTCTTTGCGATATGCATGTTGACGTATGGCATGTGTGAACCTCCTCCATATGTTTAACCCAACCTTTTA